TATCGTTGGAGTAAGAATATATATTTGCTTTTTTCAGTATCATCAATTCACACGCGAGTATTTCAAAATTTCATATTTTCCCACACTGTTGGTATTATCTCTTTTTTATTTCAGGGCATCTTATTTGCATTCGATCCTGACACAAACCGACTCGAATCGGTAGATTGTCGAGCTCTGTTGGACAACGGAAATTTCGGTAGGGGAAAATGTGTATATGGTCAACTACGTGTGTTGGTGACAATATGAAAATTATTGTTGGTTTTTAAGTATTTCTACTCTAAGTCGTGTGTGAATTTACCATAACATAGTTTGGAAACTTCTGAGCTCAACTGAGGAAAGCAAATATATATTCCAACGATACGTATTAATAAGGATTTTGTATTGTGGGAAAATATGTGTGTGTTGGTGACAATATGAAAATTCTGGGAAATTTTTCTACACTTCTACTCAAACTCAAAAGCTGAGGAAAGCAAAACATATATTCCTACTCCAACTCTGGGGAAAGTGATGTGCGTGAAAAAAATAAATAAAAAAGGAAAGTTCATCTGCGGGGTTTTTCAGGGGCAGGAAAAGAATCTTTCACCTTCACGACAGTTACCGCAATGTGTAGTGATATTATCGTCGGGACCTCGAGTGGATGTGTAACGATTATACACGGGTAAATTATTCCGTAATTACCTCGTGTAGGTGATGGTCTTTACTGTGGCACATAACGCAGAGAAAATCGTTGGTTCGCCGACAGCTGGAGGAATGAGTTCATTGTCGACTATGTGGAGTTGTAAAGGAGTGATCGATTTTTTCAAGGGATGGAAAATTCACGGAAAAATTATGAAAAAAAATTCACGATGTGAATCCATGGAAAATTCTGTATTGTGTACAGTGCATGGTAATATGCAAATGTAAAAATGTATACTATTTTCCGAGATTTTTGAGAATCGATCTGAAACTATATCGCATATACAATGGAGTTTCACGACCGTGATATGAAAAACACATGCGTAAAACGCGTAGTATGTGTTTTTCATGTGAGACGATAAAACGCGAAATGAATGGTGTAAAACACTATACTATGAGTATTCGGATTTTTTCCTACGAATGCGACGATTTATCCGGCGAAGTGGTTTTACTTCACTTCATATCGCGTTTTTCACATAGAGTATTACGCCGCTTTACGTAAAACGGGTGAAGTTCCGTGGGAACATTTCGAGACTATGATAGCGACAAGTTGTTCACTATCATTAATTCCGAAATAGAAAACACAAATTCTCCTCACAAAAATCGTTTCGTAATTGTATAATTGATATATAATGGAGTTTCACGACCCGTTTCACGTGAAGTGAAAAAACGCGATATTCGCGGTGATATGCAGTAGTCGTGAAATATATTTCTCATTAGTGTTTTTCATATCACTAGGGTGAAGAAACTCTAATATTTTTCTGTAGCCCTTCCTAGTGGTGATAAGAACTCCCCGGATGGACCACCGAAAACGGCGAATAAAATAGAGTTACACCACAGAGGAGTTTTTTGGATTCCTAATGAACCTTGTGAAGTGATGGCGGTATCAATGGTGACCTTTTCTGTATCTTTCGTGGTCACCCTAAAGATATTTTTAGGCACCGCTGGAGGTTGACGATTTAGGGCAGAGGAGAATCTATCTTTATGTGGGAGAAAAATTCCGAATTTGTGAATAAATTACCCACTAGTATAATCGTTCGTTTTTGCTTAGGTTCGTAAAGAAATTATTGGAAAAAATACTAAAGAAATCGACGAGCGGACGGAAATTTTGTAAATCGTCTGAAAAAATTGGAAAAAATGCGGAAAAAAATTTTTTTCAGAAAAAGGCTAGGGATGGTACCTCCTGTGAGCATGCGAGCAGATGACGATGAGGAAAATGAAAAAAAAGGAAAATTTTCGGAAAAGGTGTCAAAAAAAAATTCCCTGTCATATTGGAGTTTACTTGTTCAGATTGAGACGTGTATGGTATTTATTATGAATTTAAAACCAGCAGAAAATTGTGAGAAAAAAAATATTTTTTCCGGAAAATTTTCTCAGATTCGGCAAATTTTTCGCAACTTTGGGCGGATGGATTTCATGTTGGTAAAATAAGAAGTATGTCGTGCGCGAATGGGAGAGCGCTTTTGGCGACTTGTGGGGAAGATTCTAAGGTGGGAAAAAAGTGGAAAATTTTCTGAAAAATTCTCCGAAAATTTCACCTGTGGGCACGAGGTTGTTGTTAAGTACAGTAAAAATGGTCAATTCGTTTGCGGTGTCGAGAGCTGCCAAATAGGCATCATCGAAATGAAGGGAAATGTACCTGATGGGAAAATATGAAAATTTTTTTTGGGAAATTATTGTTGGTTTTTAAATATTTCTACTCTAAGTCGTGTGTGAATTTACCATAACATAGTTTGGAAACTTCTGAGCTCAACTGAGGAAAGCAAATATATATTCCAACGATACGTATTAATAAGGATTTTGTATTGTGGGAAAATATGTGTGTGTTGGTGACAATATGAAAATTCTGGGAAATTTTTTTTACACTTCTACCCAAACTCAACAAGCTGAGGAAACCAAAACATATATTCTCACTCCAACACTGTATTGGACCTATTTTGTATCTTTCTCGGATGAACCTAAGATACGAATTTGGACATTTTCATCATCATCATCACAAAGGTAAGTGTTTTTTGAATATTTTACGCTCACCATCTGTGCATATTCAGCAGCTCTTGTTTGCGTCTACGAGTAGACTATCGAGCTTCGGAAGCATTGGAGGTTGCAATGCACCCACTCGGAA